TCCCCCAGTAAAGAAGGCAGATTTTTCCTTTTTTTTTTTTTTTTACTCTTCTCCATCCTTTCTAAAATACCTTCCTCTTCCTTTTCTTACAGATTGTCATTTTTTTTCTACAGCATCCTCCAGTTTCAAGTCCAGGACTCTGAGCAGTAAGGGACATTGAGGAAGGAGAACCACTGCCACCTCTACCTCAATCCCAGGCTACCCAGTCCAAGACCTATCTAGTCACTGAGTCAGGAAGTTAACTTTTCTCTTTTTTTCTTTGTTCTTCTCCATTCTTTTGCTATTAATGTCCTTCTTTTTCTCCACAGACTATCCTTTTTTTTCTGTAGCATCTTGCAGTTCCACCTCTAGGCCTCTGGACAGTAAGGGATATTGAGGTTGGAAGACCCCTCCCCCAACCTACTCACTTCAAGGCTCACTAACCCAAGACTCATTCAGTCCTCCAGTAAGGTAGGCAGTTTTTCTCTTTTTTTCCTTTGTCTCCCTCCTTTTGTTAATACCATCCTCTTTCTGTCTCCACAGACTGTCATTTTTTCTGCAGCAGTCTCCAGTACTATCTATGTGCCTTTGGACAGTATGGGACATTGAGGTAGGGGCACCACTGCCCCTCAAGCATTACATCTAGACTCTCCAGCAGAAAACCCACTCAGTCCCTAGTCATATAAGCAGTTTTTAAATTTATTTTCTTTGATCATCTCCATTATTTTGAAAATAACCTCTTCTTTTCCCCACAGATTCTCCTTATTTTCTGCAGCAGCCTCTAGTTTCATCTCCAGGACTCTGGATAGTAAAAGACATTGAGGCAGTTACAGAAGAGTCCTCCCCCATATCCCCACCTCAATTACAGGTTCCCTAGGCCAAGACCCACCCAGTCTCCCAGTCAGGTAGGTCTCCCTGTCAGGTAGGTAGCTTTTCCCTTTTTTTGTTATTCTCTGTTCTTTTGTTATTACCCTCATATGTTTTCCCACAGTCTGTGCTTTTATCTACAGCAGCTTGAAATTCTGTTTCCAGGCCTCTGGACAGTAAAGTACATTGAGGCAGATGCACCAATATCCCACTGCCTCACTTCCAATATCTCTAGGCCAAGACTTACCCAGTACCACAGTCAGGTAGACAGTTTTTCTCTTTTTTTCTTTGGTCCCCTCCCTCCTTTTGTTAATAGCCTCCTCTTCCTTTCCCTAAAGACTATTATTTTTTCTGCAGCAGCCTCCAGTTCTATCTCCAGTCCTTTGACCAGTAAGAGATATTTAGGCAGGGGCATCACTGTCCCCACCACCTCACATCTAGACTTTCCAGCCCAAGACCCGCCGAGTCCTCCAGTCAGGTCAGTACCTTTTCTCTTTTTTTTTCTTTGCTCTTCTCTATTCTTTTGTTTATCCCCTCCTCCTCCTTTCCCCACAGACTCTCATTTTTTCTGAAGCACTCTGCAGTTCTATTTCCAAGTCTCTGCACAGTAAATGACATTAAGAGGCATGGGATCCACTGCCTCCCCACCAACTTCCAAGCTCCCCAAGCCAGGCAGGGTAAACTCAGTCCCCAAGTCAGGTAGGCAGTTTTTCCTCTCTCTCTCTCTTTTTTTTTAATCTTTAGTCTTCATTCTTTTGTTAATACCCTCCTATTACTTTTTACATACTTTTTATTTTTTTCTGCAACAGCCTCTAGTTCCATCTTCAGGCCTCTGGACAGTTAGGGACATTGAGGTAGGGGTACCACTTCCCTCCCGCCTCACTTCCAGGCTCCCCAGCACAAGACCCACCCAGTCCCACTGTCTGGTAGGCAGGTTTTCTCTTTTTTTCTTTGCATTTATCCATTCATTTGTTAATACTTTCATCTCCCTTTACCCGTAGACTGCCCATTTTTCTGCAGCAGCCTCCAGTTCCATCTCTAGGCTTCTGGAAAGTAAAGGACATTGAGGCAGGGGAATGACTACCCCCTCCTCCTGCCTTACTTCCTGGATCTCCAGCCTAAACCCACCCAGTATCTGTCAGGTAGGTGTTTTTCTCTTTTTTTTTTTTTCTTTACTCTTTTCCATTCTTTTGTTATTACCCTCCTCTTTCTTTCCCCAAAGACTGTTCTTTTTTTCTGATGAAACTTGGAGTTCTATCTCCAGTCCTCTAGATAGGATATTGAAGCAGGGGAACCACAGTTCACTCCCTCACTTCCTGGCTCCACAGCTGAAGACCCACACAGTCCCCAGTCAGGTAGAAAGTCTTTTGTCTTTTTTTTCCATTACTCTTCTCTACTTTTTGTTAATAACTTCCTTTTCCTTTCCCTATGTTCTTTTTTGCTACTGCAGACTCCAGTTTTATCTCCAGTCTATTGGGCAGGAAGGAACATTGAGGCAGGGGCACCAAAGCGCCCCAGTCTCACTTACATGCTTCCCATCTTACGAACCACCCAGTCTCCCATTCAGGTAGGGTTTTTCTCTTATTTTCTTTACTTTATCCATTCTTTTGTTAATACCCTCCTCTTCTTTTCCCCACAGACTGTCCTTTTTTTCTGCACAGCCTTCAGTTCCAGTTCAAGGCCTCTGGACAGTATGGTACATTGAGCCATGAGCACCATTGCCCCCACCCCAGTTCACATCCTGGCTCTTCAGCCCAAGACAGACACAGTCCACCAGTCAGGTACAAACTTTTTTGGCTTTTTTTTTCCCATTCCTCTTCTCCATTCTTTTGTTAATACCCTCCTCTTCCTATCCCCACAGACTGTCCTTTTTAGTACCACAGACTCCAGCATACAAAATGAAAATTTCCATCTAGAGTACACTGTATATTCTCTCAATCAAGTACATCAAGGTACATGTTATTGTTAACAAATAATTTTCCATTTCTTGTTTCCTGTATGTTTTCCTTCCCCCCCCATACTTGATTCCCTATCTCTTACCCTCTGCCATCTCCCACTCTCCTACCACACTTTCTCTGGTTTCTGTTTGTTTTCTATACTGTTTTTTCCCCACATTTTATTGAATTACTAAAGATCTTAATTAATCTAAATATTTTCATAGCAAACACAGGTGATATACACATTTCCATGAACACAAGTCTAACTTTATGCATCCTATAAAGTAGCACCTAGCTGGGGCTATATCTCTTACTGCAGTCATTGAATAGATATTTTTTTTCCTGAAAAGGTTTTTTTTTATCTCTTCTCACACTATTTCTGTTATCTACAATTGTCTTCCCTTCCTTTCCTGCCCACATTGTATTGATCACACAATTTCTTAAATAATCTAACTACTTTCAATAGTAAGTTCACTTGGTACTATTAAGAAAACCAGTTTTGACACAGACACAGTGGTAGGCCTCTGGCCAGCCAGCAATCCTGAGGCAGGGGCATTGCATGCTCCCTCATCTCCCTTGCAGACCCCCAGCCCAAGCACCTGACCCCTAGCCTCTCCTGTCCCCAGCAGCAGGCCACAGACCCAGCAGCAGGCCTCTGGCCAGCCTGCGATCCTGATGCAGGGGCATTGCTTGTTCATTCACCTCACCTGCAGACCCCTAACCCAAGCGCCCACACCTCTAGCCTCTCCAGTTCCCAACAGCAGGCCACAGACCCAGTGCCAGGCCTCTGACCAGTAAGCGATCCTGACACAGGGGCACTGCTTGGTCCCTCACCTCACCTACAGGCACCCAGCCCAAGAGCCCACCCCCAAGCAACTTAGTAGAGTACCCCTCTTGATATCACATTGGTGAATAAAATAGAAGAGAGACTTCGGCAAACATTAATTTGCAGCAAAAGGGAAAGTCAATTACTCCTGGTCAGAGAAATGTTCCCGCAAGAGATATTCAAAGTGAATACATCTTCCAACGGCTAGAAGTAGAAGAGCCTCAGGTATGAATAAACAAGGAAATATGTCTCCATCAAACGTACAGAATAACTCCCCTCCATCTTTCGTGCTACTAGACGATGCTACCAAAATGTCAGACAAAGAATTTCGAACACTTATGGTGAACAAACTCCTTGAGTTGGAACAGAAAAGAGACAATGAACTACAGGAGATGAGGAAGTCATTCCAATATAAGAAAGAAGAAATGGACACTCTATGTAAGAACCAGATGTAGCTATTAGAGATAAAGTCTGGAATAGAAGAAATCAAAAACTCCCATGAAAGTATTAAAAGTCGATTACACCATGCTAAAGATCGAATCTCTGATGTAGAAGATAAAACCTTTGACCTAGAAAGAACCACCAAAAAAGAAAGAGAAAATAACAACAACAAAAAACCCACCATGAAGATAATATATGTAAGAACCAGATGTAGCTATTAGAGATAAAGTCTGGAATAGAAGAAATCAAAAACTCCCATGAAAGTATTAAAAGTCGATTACACCATGCTAAAGATCGAATCTCTGATGTAGAAGATAAAACCTTTGACCTAGAAAGAACCACCAAAAAAGAAAGAGAAAATAACAACAACAAAAAACCCACCATGAAGATAATATACGAGAAATACTAGATTCCCTAAGATGGCCAAATATCGGAATATTTGGCATCACAGAAGGTAAAGAAACTAATAATGGCATGGAAAATCTATTTCATGAAATCCTGGAAGAAAATTTCCAAGTCTAGAGAGGCACTCAAACATCAAGACCCAAGAAATACAATGAAAATCACAGTTAGAATCAACCCCAGAAGATCTTCCCCAAGGCACATCTTAGCCAGAGTATCCAAGACCACAAATAAAGACATGAATCTGAAACTGGCAAGAGAGAGAAACTAGAAGTCACATACAAAGGTCATCCCATCAGGCTAACTCCGGACCTCTCAACAGAAACAATGCAAGCAAGGAAAGAATG